TGACGAAAATCAACAGTTAAAACGAGTACTTCATAATATATAATTGAGGATAGAAAATGTTTCTAACAAGTCAAATCGATTTCTTCATAACAAACACGCTCAAAAGAAGAATTATGAGAAAAATCATCCAAAACAAGTTTCTGATGATAAGTTTAGAAAATATCCAGTTGTATATATTTGCTCGTACTGTACCAGACGAGGACTTTTAAGGAAGTTCTGTTATGACCTAAAAAATTTAAAGGAACCATCTACAAAAACATTTTGGGTTCCTAAATGTACTAACTACTGAGTGATTGTAGAGTCTAGACAGGCTTCAAGAACGGGCTTTGTGCTCCTTGGCAGAGAACCCTTGTTGTTCGATTACTGGGGATTAAGTGGGATTTCCCACCCTATGCCCATGGCTCCTTGTGCAATGTAGTCTGACTGGGCATATGGAAATGAGAGATTTGGATCATGATTGCTATATGGTGAAAATAGAAAACGATCAAGATTACTTCAAAGCTCTCACCGATGGGCCGTGAATTTTTTTTTTATCACTATGTGGTTGTCCATCAATGGACACCAAATTTTAGAATCTCTAACCCCTTCCGAAGAAAATGATCGTCTGGCTCTAGCTTCCAAGTCTTTGAATTCATTATTACCACAAAGAGGTTCTAATCTCTATTATAAATCTGATTAGGCGTACTATCAAGCTCAACTATCACATCCTGAATCAACAACGAACCAAATTCGAACGCCTTGTTGTGGAGATTAATCTAGAGAAGCCCCTAATCCTTAGAATCCACCTGAATGGGGAATGGCAGAAAATTGAACACGAAAATCTCCCAGAGGTTTGCTTCGAGTGTGAGAAAGTTGAACACTCATCAGTCTCTTCCGCAACTCTCCAGTGAGCTCCTTAAGTCGAGAGTCTGACGATGATCAGATTCAAGGGTTCAGACAGTTCCGAAGCAACAATGATGGAACCAAACACACGTTTGAAACCCTGGTTGGTGATTACCAAAAAAGGGCGGCGTAATAATCAGGATCACAATCGGAAAGGGAAGGATGAAATTGAGGCTGGAAAACTGAATCAAGGTAATGTCAGTAAGAATGGAAAGAATATCTCGGCAAGAAAGGAAGGTGAAGATATGAATGGGCGACCCTCTCCTCATTTCCATACTTCCCAACGGACAAATACTTCGGACTACAAAAAGGAAGGAGACGAGTTGAGCTCTGCGGACCAGGAGGGTTGGTGGGCAAACCCGGGGCCCGACGGAGCTAAACATGGGTGGATCACAGAACCGAACTCAGGTCGAACCGGTAAGCCAACTGAACCACTAATCGTTTGAACCGAAATCGGCCAAACTGATCCGAACCGGACCGGGTCGACAACCGACGGACAGCAACTGGGGCGCGACGGCTGGATGTACTAGGGCCGTCCAGCGAGGGCAAGAGTCGCGATACCCCCGTGGGGAACTCCTAGGGCGGACAAGGGACGTGGTCACCAAGGCTTAGAAGTTGGATAAGGGTCCGGGACTAAACCCGGGCACGGAGAAGGCTACGAGAGGAATATCCGAATATGGGCAACTGGCCCTATCCTCAGCAGTAGTGGATCGAACCGGGCTACCAATACAGTTGACCTGGGAGCCGGGAACTACCGCTGGACTCAGGCAGGTATGGACACCGTAACCCCTTGTATGATTATGATGATGACTGCCTTTGGTTATCGTGTTTCCAAAATTTGATGGTCATGGTGACGTGGGACTATGGCTATATGCGACGGAGAGGTGGTTCAAGAACCACCCGATCAGAGAGGAGATGAAGGCGCATTTGGCGTCCTTCTATTTGGAGGGAGACGCCCTCCAGTGGTGGGAATGGATCGAGAGGGCTTATGCAGCAACATGGGAGACTATCTCATGGGTCAGGTTTCAGGATGAGCTTTGATACCAGTTCGGTAGAACCGAGGGGTTGGCGCCAAAGCAGCTGGCCAAGCTGAATCAGACTGGCTTAGTAGCAGAGTATCGAGCATAGTTCCTTAAGCTAGGGAACCAGTGCAAAGAGATAACCGAGGAGATGCTGGTGGGGCTGTGCATGGTGGGGCTACAACCCAAACTGGAAAAGGCAGTTAAGGTCTTTGAACCTGATTCTCTTCGAGTTCCTTGGAGGCTTGCAGGTTGCAAGAAAGAGGAGCTAGGCAACTGAAGGTCCTCGACAGGGAGATTCCAGAAGGCGAGTGACGGAGCAGGCGCTGCAGCACCCTCATCGCCGCCAAGGACTACAAACCCGCTAGGGACTACTCAAAGAGGCGGGTTTCCATCTAGGCTACAACCAAAAGGGTTCGTCAGGCTAACTTGGCAGAGATGGAGCAAAAGCGCAGGGACTGACGTTGTTTCAATTGCGATGAGAGGTATACGGTGGGACGCGAGTGCGCCAAGGATCACCTGATGTTGGTGGTCGGAAACTGGAAAGATGAGAGCTAGGAAATGGAGGTGGGCGAGGCTGAGACGAAGAAGGAAGAGAAGAAAGAAGGCCCACCTTGAGGGAAATGTGGGTTTCAAGGGGGGGGGGGTGGAATGTCAGAAACTCATTCTTTTGGGGTTTATTTGTCGTTAATTATTATTCGAGATGTTTTGATGTTATGTTGGATATTTCGAGAACTACTGGGGTTTATTCAGTTAGGTTAATTAATTGGGTAGTTATAGGGAATTAGTCGGATTAATATTCTTTTATTGGGAGAGAGTTGGAGGTTAAGCAATAACACAATAATTATACCCTACAATTCTCTCTCTCTCTCTCTCACCCTAGCCAAAACTCCTCCTCCTCACCCCCTAGCCGTAGGCCATCCTTCTTCTGGGAACCGACCTCTGCTTCTCTCTCACCTAAACTCCAGTTCTTTCTCATCTAAATCCCCAATTCTCTTATCAATCGCAAACCCTAAATCGCGCACCTAGATCCATGTTCTTTCAAGTCCGCACAAAAGAAAGCGGCAAAACCAAGTGATTATCAAGAAGGAAGATACTCTATAAGAAAGAGCAGTGACCTGGAAATTTCGTTGCCACATAAACAAAATCATGTGCTCCAAACAGCAACATGACAATCAGGATGCTACGAACAACATCATCGAAACACAAACATAATCACGTGCTCCGAACAGCAACATGGCGATCAGGATGCTCCCTACAGCATCATCAAAACGGAAACGAACCAAAATGCTCTGAACATCATTCATCAAATTGAGATATTTCGGACAATATCTCAAACTAAGGTGTTCCGAACAACACATCCAAACCGAAACAAAAAAACCAAAGGGACGAAACCTATGGTTGTACCAAACAGAGACAGGCTTGAACAACTCCAAATGAAACCCTTTCCAATCTCCACCATAACCGATCACCACAGTAACCAATCAAAATATCATCCAGTAGATTGAACCAAATATCAACCGACCGAAGCAATCCAATCGGAACTGCAACCTGAAATCTCATGCAACCATCCAAAAACGTATCCAGCCTTCCAATTCCGATTATGGACAACAATGACACGGTAGCCACCATATATGGACTTGAAGTTTGCATAGGCATCAGACACCATGTGCTAACAAATGGGGGTTACCGAAATTCGAACACAAGACCTTTCGATTATAGAAGGCTCTGATACCATATCAATAACCAGTTGATCCCAATAACTCGGCTTGGAGTTTGTACAGGCACAGGTTCGGACACCATATGCTTAACAGAAACAGATAGGGGTCACCGGGAATCGAACAGAAGACCTCACGGTCACAGAATGGTTGTGATACCATGTCAAGAACCAGTTGATCCCAATAACTGGGATCAACTTGTTTTTGACATGGTATCAGAGCCTTCTGTAACGGAGAGGCCTTGTGTTCGAGTCCTGGTGACCCCATTTGTGAAGCACATGTATTCTCGTGTTCAGGACATGTGCAAACGAAAACCCTTATGAGGTTACTGGCTTTCGTTTGAGGGGGTGTGTTAGTGAACAATATATGATCCACGATTGAACTTTTTCCAACAACTCAAGTAATTTGGATCAATTGGTTTTTGACATGGTATGAGAGTCTGATTCGAAAACCTAATGAAAAAACCTAAGCTTCCTTCCTACGCTGCCTCCACCATAAGTCCACAGTCACCGGGAATATGATTACTCCGGCCATCCAATCTTTTTATCTGTTTCTCCTCATCCGTCAGTAATCTATTCTCCTCCACCTCGTTATTGCTTGAGTAGCTTTGTGTTTTCTTAGTTAACTAGCCTTGTTATTATGGTGGTCGTCTTTAGCATCAAGAAAAATTGTGATATCCATAGTTCGTCCAAGCTCGTCCTGTCCCGGAATAATTACTCCCCATGTCGTCCCTTCACTTGATCTGTTGTGCGCCTTGCATAATGGTATTGGGAACTCAAGTTTGCATCTTGGTTGTTATCGACGACTTGGGTTTCCAATTATTGGACTTGCATAATGTGCAGACTTCCACAACTAGTTTTTCCAGTTGGCGCTGGTCTGAACTTGGAGATGATGATCACAGACTCCGATTCCCTGTGTCTCTTTTAGTTTACTTAGGAAATGTAGAATGAGTTGAATTTTATTTTTTACTCATCAGTAAGCAGACTTATCTCCAAGTCATAGTGGTTCAATGATTCCTTAAGGGTCAATAGTTAGTCTATTTGGTTTGTGTGGTTGTTTTGCCGACTTTCACTTGACAGGACGAAGTTGGAATTTGACAGCAAAAGGATGAATAGAGAGTCAGTCGGCACAGCCATTGGGCCCTGTGTAACAGAGTAGTTAGAAGGGTGGCCAAATGGCGTCTAATTAGCAAAAACAAACACCTGCAGCCTGCAGGCATAACACTACAACAAATTGTCATAATATATATATTATAGATACAGGAAAAAGGACTTGGGAGATTTCTATAAGTAGAAGCCTAAGGCTGGTTGTGTTATCAACTTGACATTGGCTTTTACATTAGGTTTCTTCTTAGCTTAGCTTGATCATTCTCCATCCCAAGATGGGGAAGGCAGGGAGATGGGTGATGAATTTCCTGCTCGGGAAGAAGCATGGAGGCAATAGCAGCAAGGTTAGTAGCAAGACGGACTACAATGGTGCGCCTTTCCAAGAAGATTGCAGCATAGAGACAGCAGCTGTTAGTGTTCTTCCACCACAAACTCCAAAGAGGAGATGGAGCTTCGGAAAATCATCAAGCAAAGACAAATCATTGGCTCGGAGGCATAGTACAAGCACCGTCATTGCCACCTTCAACCCTCTTCTGCAAGCCTCATCAGCCGATGCCATGGAGCATCTGCTCTTGGGTCCGTCTCTGGGGAACAATGAAGCTGTGGCTCTGGCCATCCATGAAGCTATTAAGAACTTGGAGAGGAAGTCAAATGCTTCACAAGCAGCAGAAGCGGAGGACAGACTACTGAGGATCGTCTCTCGTGAACATGCTGCTGCCACCAGGATCCAAGCTGCCTTCCGGTCTTACTTGGTAATCACCACTGAAACCTCCTCCTCTATGCTCTTTCGTAGTAGAACTGCAAACTAAGTAAGATTGTTTATCACTTCTACCCACCATGTTTCCCATTCTCTTCTTTCTGCTCGTACATCGACTCACGGGGATCTCATTACTGTGGTTTTTGCTAGGCAAGAAAAGCTCTGGCGGCACTTAAGGCACTGGTTAAGCTACAAGCACTGGCAAGAGAACATCTAGTGAGGAAACACATGAGCGCCACAATCCGAAAAATGCACGCCGTTGTGTCAATCCAAGTCAGAGCCCGTTTCCAGAGAATCCAAATGAGCGAGCACTCGCAACTTCAACAACAACAACAACAACAACAAGTTGTTGATCGGTCCTCAAAGGCTGGAGATTCTCCTTCCCAGAATACGAACAACAACAAGAAAGATGGAAACTTGAACGAATCCGAGAGATTTGCCGCCAGGAGGCATTCAGGGGACCTCTCGTTCCTGAAGCGCGAAGGGGCATTCGAGGAATCTTCTTATTTTTCTTCTACCCAGACCAGCCCTGGGACAACCCGCCATTACAAAGCTTCTCAACAGGTGGTCTCTTCAGGACAGGATTCTTCGTTCCTGGAACCGAGCTACATGGGGAAGACGCAGTCCTCGAGGGCAAAGTCGAGGTCTCACAGCGAGCCGAGGCAGCGACCTCGCAGGAGCATTTCGTCAAGCACCAGGCAGTCGCCGAGCAGCAGCGTGCAGAGTGGCTTCTCATCGTCGAAAAGGCTGTCCCTTGGTGAATCCCAGGAGCAGTGGTTCATCAAGCTGTATCGCTCGACCGTGGCGCCGCCGCCGCAGGGTGGTGACGATTATTATTGCGACGGCGACACAGAAATCCTCGTCGCCTACGAGGTATAATGATCGTCTAGTCGGAACTCTTTATTACGACCCGTTAATTTCGTGTATTGGGTTTCTGATTCTTTGATTTCTCTGCAGCCGCACTTGAATATGTACTGACTATGAGAATGAGAGGAAGGACGAGAGGAATCCTCGATAGAATTTGTGATCACTAAACAGGACAAATTCTTGCATTTGGCATACTTCTGTTCTGTGGGAATACACGTCGTTAAAGGTTCCCCCTTCCCACTGTGAGAGGGGAAGAAGGCCAAGATCAGCTACCTAGAATTAGCAACATGTCTTGCCAAATTGCCCCATCGATATCGTCCCCGTTGACTTCATTTGCACATTTCAGTCAACGTCAGTCTCTCCTAATGGTGCATTAATATCAGTGTACATGAGCAATTGCCTGCAAAAATGATTAAAAACAAGTTCAAGACGGTCAAGTACAGGATTGCACAATAACGTGTGGAAACAATTTCGTCCCTCAGTACCACTCAAAGTCCCTCGGCTTCGGAAAAACTTGCCTATCACTTGACATTGTATATGCACCCTTTCAGTTAAATTCACACCATCCTGTTTAACAAGGAACGAAAGTACAATAGAACACAAGTTAGACAACGAGCATGTAAAGATCCAGTAGTTTAGAACAAGTGCAAAAAGAACAGCCAGCTTCCATGCTGTGTTAGAGTTAAACACGGAACAGTTTCAACCTTCTTAGCTCAATCATGCTTGACGTCAGAAATGTCATCTGCAAGAAAAATTGTTATAGACCCGAGCAGCGGGAGGATTATGTAGTCATTAGCATAGTTCCCAGCAGAGACGTCTTCCCCACTAGGGGACTAGAAAGTATCAGCATCTTATAAACATCGACATGTTCAAGCAGGATGTAGATTACATATGGTATTAGATAAGTTATTTGATAATCAATTAAAAAATGAACAAATAAACTGACTAAGAGACAATCCGATTTTACATGGTGTCCCTGAAATGTTAGGACTAATCCACATAAAAGTAACGCACTCTGCTTATGTATAAGCTCAATATATGGAAATCGAGCAGCAAGAGGTAATGGCTGAACCCTATGTACAGCACACTCTCTACAAGCTGGGTTGTCCTACGTGTTATTGGTTTACTAGAAAAAATGCCTGCTGCTACGCCGCGGGGACTTAAGTGCAGACTCGTAATGAATGGATGGGTAGTTAGTTTATGGTCAAATCAGGTTGTTGTAGTTTTCTTTTATGTAAGGAGGTGGAGAGTCATGTTTGTGGCCATTTCATCTACTAATCAATACTTGCAACAACATGATCATATATCATGGCAAGTTTATGTGATAGTGAAGTGGAATCGTTGTGCCACTGGCAACCATGTGGGTTCGGAAATTTTGAAAGTAGAAGACTTGTATTGTTGTGCTACTGGAAAAAAAATCATAAAAAGTATAAGAGAGCATTTTGATTGAAGAAAGCAAAGAAATCACAGGCTGGTGTAATTCAAACAAATGGAAGCAACAACGATTGATGAAAGCTAGCAACATTAATGATGTGCTTCTCTCAACATACCAAGGCAGGTAAGAGGGGAAAGAGAGAAGTAAATATCAATGTTTATGCAAGCAAATCTGGGCAGTGAAAGGGTGAACTTTCCAAGCAACATGAGCTCCACATCACATTGATCGACAATCTTTTTGTGTCTTTTTTTTTTGTCATAATCTTTTTGTGTCTTCGAAATACAAATATTTGTACCACGCAAAGGGTACGTAAACATAGTGCGGGCAGACCTTTGAAGCAAAATATGTTTTGGGTTAAAACTCTAACATAGGAAGATATTGACATAATAAAGGAACAGACAGGATTAGGGATGACAATGGGTCGGGTCGGTGACGGATAGTGCATATCCGTTACCCTACCCAAAGTAGTTCGGGTTTTACCCATGCCCATACCCACATAAGAAACGGGTAGAAAATCCAAACCGTGCCCATACCCGTTCGGGTTTCGGGTATCCACGGTTATCCATGGGTAATGGTTTCTCTTTATAACTTCAACCAATATATTAATATTCACACTTATTCTCACGTCACGTAATACGAAAAGTACGACAATTATTCACTAGAATGAACAAAATTAATTAAACAACACAATTCCAAAAATTATTATATTTATATGGTAAACATAAAATATGTTAGACAAAAATATAGATTATTTCTAGACAAAATACATATGGATGTGTATAATCGGGCGGGTTCGGGTTGGATAGTGAGAAAACCATGCCCACCCATTACCCACAATATTCGGGTTCGGGTTTTACCCATACCCACTAAAAGTCCTTCGGGTTCGGGTTTTACCCTACCCGATTATGTCGGATTCGGGCGGATATCCACGGTTGCGGATATTTTTGCCATCCCTAGACAGGATCTAACGCGTGGAAATGGCAAAGGCAAGTGGATGTCATATGGTGTCGACCTCAAACACCAAATTGACCATTTATGTGTCTTGTCCAGTTCCAATCTCCACAGTAAACACCTTATGACAAAGCTAAGACATCCATTTCTACCGGTACTAGTGAGAGTCAAATACTCTTCTGCTGATTTCTGTAGAAGTGAGATTTTTGCTGCAGCATTGCATTGTTGAAGAGTTGAGGCATCATAGCCCAAAGATATTGGGAGCAAAGCTAGATTACATATCATAGCACACATTTATGGTAACAGGTTTGTACAACATAAAAGTGAGAGTAAAAGCTCACACCGCGAAAGTTCCATTGATCTTTCCCTAGCTTGATCCTAAGCATCGCGAATTTCTGTTGTAATGATTTGCATCACTCTGGCAGAGTGGTCAACGTGCCCTGAAAAATGTCCAACTCTGATGCATAAAACTGATAGAACATCACAATGTCTACATTAATTTAAACCACTTCCCCAGTCCTTCTCTTTATTCTGTTTATTCAGTTCCTTATTTACAGTATACTTTGTTTTGCCTTTCCGTAAGATTAGACTCTCTTTTGTACTGACATCTAGCTACTATATATGTACACTATTGTATAACGAAAACTCAGGCTTTATGCTCACTTATAAAAACCATACAACCATATGATTATAGTAGTAGCTTCTTAAGAAGTTCAATTTGAGCTTCAGTTTGTTTAAACCCCAAAAACACGATTTTCCTAGAATGGTGATAGTATCCTATCCCTACGACGATATTGAAGGCCACGGTCACTGAAGTACCAACGAATTTGCTATAGTAATTACAAAAAGACAAACATAAGTCTAGTGATATGGAAGTCAAATATATCAGCAAAGATAAGAGGATCTAATAGTCTGACTCAATTGCATAAAAGGACTTTGATATGTGGTACACATAACTATCATTTGTACTTCCATTGAGGTGCAATTATGTTATCGAGCAAAGATAGACTATGCAAGAGACAACACAACAAAACTGCAAATGCAGAAAGCAAGGAAGGTTCTTTCAACTGGTTCTTTGTCTGTGATAACTTCCTACAGGGTTACTAATTACCAAGTGTCGAGCATGCATGGAAATTTGAAAAAATGCACTGCATTGTTGGGTTTTATGTCCCCGCTGCAACCTCTGAACCGTATGAGCAGCAAACGCAGGTCTAAATGGCAAGTAACATGAAAAAGGAAGCATGAGAAGGCAAACCAACCTCTTGTCTAGGGCCTGCATTGGTCGTAGAACAGTGATATTAGGAATAATTGGAACACTGAAATGTGTATTAATGATGCATTGCTGGACTATGGAAGAATCATTTTGTAAAATCCACTGATATCTAAGTGGCCAAGCACCAAAAAAGGAGTCCTGGGAAGCTCAATAGACTCAAAGAGGTCTCTTTCATCTGTAGGAGTTAAATTTGAGTTAGAATCAATCAAGAAGCATCAAAGTGAAGAATAGAACTCAAGCATTGGAGTAAGCATGATAGACTGACACACGCTCTCATTATCGTGTATGAGAAACTGAAGGGCCTCAACTATGCATTCAATGAGACCATTAACTAAATTCTCCAACATACTCCAAATTCAATTGAGAGATTTGATGACAAAAATTAAGTATGGTATTAAGAACACATGGGAGACTATTAATTAAATTCTCCAGTAGACTCTAAGTTGGACCAAAAGCCAGTACACTATTCTGTCATTACACTATTCTAGTTGGTATGGTTAGTTACAGGGAGTGAAGCACAAAATTATTCATAATGTATTATCTTGAACTTGGGTTGACATCAGAAAGCAGTGAGGTTGACAGAGCAAACAATGAAGCAAGAAATAGCATTGAAGAAAGATTGTAACAAAGAGTAAAGTTGCTTGTATCCATATACACTCTAAAAGACACAGAACATCTCGTGTCATTATTTGTATCCACCAATATTGTTAGCAAAAATTGACGAAGAGGCTAGGAACGTAACTGATAACTAAAGTCGGTGTGAATGACGGATGAGCAAATGACCGAACTCATCTTTTAGAACCGAGCAAGGTGCTGATACTGGATCGACTTTGGGACAGTATGAGATTTTGCAAACAGAGAGTTTTTTCCAAATACAAACAACCAAATGAAGGAAATTTGCTGTGGAAAACATAGTGCCGAAAGGCAGAGGAAAACAGTAAAAAAGATTGCCATTGCTTGTATCCATCCACCATCTCAAAGGCAGAGGAAATCACTTACCATTGCTTGTATCATTGATTCCAACAGGAGTCATGACATCATTGTCCATCCTCTTACCCCACAGCTTTTGCACCGCCAATCTGTGCCTGCATATAACATATCCAGATTTAGCCACCCCCAAAGCAAGAACAAAAAATATACTATCTTACTGACAGATTTTGGTTGGAAGCTAGCGAACCGAGTGAGAAAATTGCAAATCTACCCCTAGCTCAGTTGTACAGTCTACAGTTTGCCCCGAGATTAGCTCTAGTGTAAGCATAACAGTCCATCAAACAATAACAATAAGGTTTAGCAATAATAAACAAACAACAGCTCTTTCACAGTTGCACCAATGAGACCAATAATTAACTGCAGTTCTTTCGTAGAAAAGCCATGTTCTAAGAAGCAACCTTCAGGGGAAAGGAAGGAGTACAGAATTAGAGAGGAAACAGACGTGATGAAATTGGAAGAAGA